CCTATGCACCCCAAACAACTGACCTTTCCAACCGAGGCTCGAATTTCAAGGCTACCAACCGAGGCCTGAGTTCCAAGGATACCCACAAAGGCGTGGAGGATTTGCCCCGAGACAACCGATACCACCTCCACCGGAGCCCGAGAGAATTGCTAATGGGGAGTCCTCGGATACCCAGATCGAGAGCCTAGAGAAGTGTCTTCAATCGTTGGCCTCTACCGTCTCTACTTTGCACGACACCGTCAAAGGAGTGCCCTCGATTCAAGCCTCTGTCAAGTGCTTCGAGACTCAAATGGGGCAACTCGGAACTTCCATCGGGGAAATTCAAAGGGGCAAGATGAAGGACAAGCTCCCAAGCCAACCCGAGCACGTCAATGCAATCACTGTGTTGAGGAGTGGTAAGAAAGTTGATAATCGTGTTGAGATGCCAAAGGCAAATGAGGTAGTTGAGGAGATAGTTGTTGAGGATGATGATGAACCGAGTGAGAGGGTTGATGTTGTGAAAGGGAAAGCCGTTGTTGACGAGAGAATCGAGAAGGTGAACCCCAAGAAGGATGCCCGTGAGGCTTTGCACAAAGCGGATGAACCCTACCGACCACCGGTTCCCTTCCCGAGCCGTTTGAAAGATACAAAGAAGGAGTATCAATTTGAAGATCTTTTCAACATGCTCTCAAAGGTAAACGTCAATCTCCCTCTCTTGGAGGTTATTCGAAATGTCCCGACATATGTGCAATTTTTAAAGGATTTGGCCTCCAAGAAGAGGAGATTCGGGGATAATGAGACGGTGATGATTTCCGAGGTAGCATCGACTACCATACCTCGGAAAGAATGTGACCCGGGAGCCTTTGTCATGAAGATTACATTCGGGAATGGAAAGACTACAACCGGGATGCTAGACTTGGGAGCCGGTATAAACCCCATGCCCTACTCGATCTACAAGCAATTAGGTTTGCAAGGGCTTAAGCCGACTCGGATGAGCCTCCAATGGGCGGACCGTACCTTACGGGAACCGAAGGGCATTATTGAAGATGTGTTGGTCAAAGTGGGCTCGATTGTTGTACCGGTTGATTTCGTAGTCCTTGACATTGGAGATGTCCCGAACACCGGGAAGGAGCACACGATTTTGCTTGGTCGACCCTTCATGGCGACGACCAACACCATTATCGACGTCAAGGAGGGACGAGTCACTCTTTCGGCTCATGGAGAGATTGCTACTTTCACGATGAACAACGCCCGGGAAGCTCCACCCAAAGTTGGCCAATGCTCGTTTGTGGAGGACATCGCCAAAGAGGTACATTCCAACTCTAAGCTTAAATTACCTAATGAAAATGGTTTTGTAGGCAAGACGAATGTGATGGAGTTGGGAAAGAACGTCAATGATGTGAGGTGAAACTTGGGGGTTCAAGCAAGAAAGTTGATAAAGGAAAGGGAAGCGGTTCGAAACCGAGAAAGAAGGGGTCGAAAATTAAGCCCAAGGTAATTAGACAAAACCGGGAGACAACCCACCGAGCTTGAAGGATGATGCGAGCACCGGAGTG